CTCGCCCCGAACAGTCGGGCACTGGGCCTCCCGACGAGCAGGGGCCGAGCGGGTGTCCGCTGGTTCCCAGATCTCGGGGAACCCCGGGCAGGGCTCGCTTCCAATCTGGATCCCTCTGCTCGGGAGGGGCCCCTGATCCTGGGAAGCCGTCCCGAAAGCGGCGGCGGCATTGGAGAAGGAACGTCGTCCTGGGGCCCAGACCCTGGCGCATTCCTTCCTGTTTCACGGCGAGGTGGGTGGTCCACGTTTGGCCGCCCATCGGTCGCGAGATCCTGGGTTCCTTATCGAAGGTATCCTTATCTAAAAGCTCCACCGTACTGAGAACCAAGCGGCTGTCCGCTAGACCCCCCTAAACGGAGTTGGTTTCCAATGGTTGGGCGGTTCATGCCCGGGCCCCTTCTACCTATTTGGATCCAAATACGGGGGGTCCTGAATCCTGGGCCCGGGCCCCCGCTATCTGGGACCTCCCAAATTGGAAGGGGGCCAAGCCCTGGGCTTCTCAAATATCGGAACCCAGCTGGGTTCCGTTTGGGCTGGTCCAGCAGGAATCCGCTGGGTTCCCGAGAACAGGGGCGCATAGGGTTCTTTGCCCTCTCGTGGAAGCTCGCCCCGGGGGCCTTGGTGGAGGGGCCACCAGTCTGGTTCCCATGCTTCGTCGCTGTGGGTGTGCGGGCACTGGCAACCAAGCGTGCGCTCACCCACCCCCCTTCACCCCCCCTTTAGGTCACACCGCCTCTCCCAGACCCCCGACGTCATGATTTGTTCATAACGCCGACCCTCAAGGGTCTCGACACATTCCCCGGGACGGGTTTTTAATCATGAGTCGTTTTTGACGGTCCCGAGGCCCGGCAAGGGCCCCCCGAGGCCGAAAATATGGAAAAGTTTCCCGTCATGATTTTTTCATTACCCGAGGGGAGCTGGGCTTAACGACCGCCCGACCACATGGATCCGTGTAAATGCCCGCCCCTGCGTCATTACCCGAGGGGGGCTGGGCTGAACGACCGCCCGACCACATGGATCTGTGTAGTGCCCGTCCCTGGGCTATTCTCCCCTGTCGTCGCCCCGAGCTCCACGTGCGGGTGGCGCCAACGGAGGGGGGGGGGGGGGGGCGAACGTGGAGCGCGCTGCCAGGTCGAGGTGAGAGAAGCTGAGACGAAGTGAGAGAAATTGAGAAAGTTCAAAACAGATTGAGAGAGATGGAGACAGCTCGAGTTGTAGTTCGGGCGGTTTGGTGATGCTTGGAGCGCCGCTTGGCTTGCAAACGTGGCGGCTGCCCGCCCCCCATGTCCGCCACCCCCATGTGGAGTGGCATGATCGTCGCCCCCCCTTGGCGGCGCGCACAAGGGGGTGGAGGGTGGGGGGAGGGCTTCCTAGAAGGAGGCTGCTTCTTAGCAGGCGCCGGCCTTATAGACAAGGCCCGCGCCTTCTAAGAAGCAGGGGTGCTTCTAAGAAGCCCTCCCCCCTCCCCCCACCCCCCTCTGCGCGTGGCTGGCCCTCCCCCCATCCTGTGGCTCTGCCGTGTTCCTGCCCGCAGCGCACACCGCCAGAGGCGGCGGAGAGCTTGAGAGCTCCACCTGCCAAAAATCTCCGCCACCCCCATGAGGAGCTGCCTGATCGTCGCCCCCTCCCCCCCCCCCGCATCCCTGAGGCAGCGCGGCGCCGCCGCCGCCGCCGGCCAGGCGGCCGCGCTCGCCGCGAGGCGCGGCGGGCCTGGAGTCGTCCTCGCCGCTGCTGGCCCCCCTCCGATGGGGAGGGCGATGGCGCAAGGGGGGGGGCCGATGTCGGGCGCAGCGTTCGGCCCGGGCCCCCGCGGGTGCGGAACAAAATCACGGCGGGAGGTTGTTCCGTAGGTTCGGCCCCTGGGGGCCCTTGCCGAGCCCCAGGGCCGTCAAAGGACGACTGAGGATGAAGAGCCGGTGCAGGGGAACGGGTCGAGACCCCTGAGGGCCGACAGTGTGACAAAGACCATAACGTCGGGGGTCTGGGTTGGGAGGGGACTTTTCCTGTCGGCAGCGCGGCGGGACGATGCGCTCCAGCACGGCAGCGATGCAGGAGCATTACAGAGCGAATTGGCCGGCATGCAGGAGTAGGGAGAAAGATAATTAGGTGTTAGTTAGGGGGGGACATGTTCAGGGGTGTTCGAGGTTCGAGGCTTTCGGACGTGTTCGTCCGCTCTCGTCGGCGGGATGCGCTGCAGCGGCTGCGTCTCGCCGAGGGCGTTTCGGGAGCGCCCAGAGGTCGTCCCGCACGGCCGCGGGAAACCCGAGTTATGACCCGAAGGTCGGGCGATGCTCACGAGGGCGATGCTCAAGAGGGCGACGCTCAAGAGGAGGGCGGTGCTCAAGAGGCCTGAGCATTAAGTCGGGCATGTCCCTCTACAGGAGGAATATGCAAAAATAGTAAGACATATAGTTTGCGGACGATGCTTGACAATGTTTGACTATGTTCGATTATTTGTTTATGGGTATTTTAAATTTCTCCGCCCAAAATCTGACTGTAGGAAGACATGCCCGACATGAGCATCACCCTCCTCCCAGACATCAGACGTCGCGATGCTGAAGCAGATCTCCACTGTTAAGTCGGGCGTGTCCCTCTACAGGAGGAATATTCAAACATAGTCCAGAAATACAGCGGGGACGATGTTTTGAATTATTTTCTTGCTATTTTAGAATTTTTGTTTAGTCTTTTAATTTTTCCGCCAAGCTCAGCCTGTAAGAGGACATGCCCGACCAGGCCCCACTGGTCTGGATGCCTTCATGGGGGCGGGCTTCTCACCCTGAGTCTTCGTTGATGGTCTGGGGACCCGGCAACGGCCCCCGGAAGCAACGCAAATGCAACAGCCTTGAGCGTGATGACCTTAGTAGGAGGAGGGGGAGGAGGAGGAGGAGGAGGAGGAGGAGGAGGAGGAGGAGGAGGAGGAGGAGGAGGAGGAGGAGGAGGAGGGAGGAGGGAGGAGGGAGGAGGGAGGAGGGGAGGGGGGGAGGAGGCCCCCCTGGCCCTCGAGGGAGCAGCGAGAGCACGCCTCCACGACTCCGTCGCCGCCCGCCGCCGCTTGCGGCCCTCTCGGCACTCGGGCCCGACTCCTTCCGAGGTGCGGCGTCTTGCGCTTCCCCCGGCGCTCTTCCCCTGCAGCGTCTCACTCCCTCCCCTCCCTCCACCGTCTCTGCGGGCCCGAGGCTCCGCCAGTCTCGTCTCCAGGGGATCAACAAGTAGCATACACACAAAAACTCGGAGGTCCGCGCGGCTTTCTCGGATCGGCGCTGGGGCCCCCTGGCGGCGCCTCCGCGCGCCGGGGAGGCGGGTCCAGCGCCGATCCGAGAAAGCCGCGCGGACCTCCGAGTTCTTATGTGTATGTCATGTTTCGTTCCCCCAGTCTCTGCGGGCCCGAGGCTCCGCCATTCTCGTCTCCCCCCTCTCTCCTGCCCGTGGCGTCGTGCCGTGTCGACGCTCTCGACCGCCTCACATCTACAGAACGCCAGGTGTTTTCGCGCGATGGCGTGCCACGTGCAGTTATACTTCACTCGCGCCGCCGCTGGAGGGGATAAGGTCGTGGCGACGCGGCGGCGGCCCCGGCGCGGGCGTGTTCGAGGTTGTTGACTTAGGGGAACAAACAATGGCATAAACATAAAAACTCGGAGGACCGCGCGGATTTCTCGGATCGGCGCTGGGGCCCCCTCCCTGTCGCGCGGAGCGCGCCAGGGGCGGCGCCCGGCGGCACGGAGAGAACCCCCTAGATCGGGGCGACGCCAACCCCGACCCCCGATGTCGACCCTGAGAGGTCTCGACCCATTCCCCAGGACCGGTTTTCATCGTGAGTCGTTTTTTGACGGTCCCGAGGGCCGGTGAGGAATTCCATAGGCCGAAAATATGGAAAAGCCTCCCTTCATTCCCGTCGTGACTGACCACCTCACCGAACCTGGCGCAGCCGATCTTGAACCCAGGATCGGTATACTTACGCGTCCTCCTGACCAAGTTCAGGAGGGGAAAACACACAGACACATTTAATCGTCGACTCCTAGGAAAAAATGCGAAAACATTGGAAATGGGAGGAAGACGAATATCCAGAAACTATGGGAAATTGTTTGGAATCCTGGGGCGTGTGCCGCTTTATTTGTGTGTTGTGGGCCCCTTCGAAAAAGAAGTGGCACAAGGTCTTCAGGGATCGAGGGGACGCGTGTTCCATTGGATCTGGGCAGGTCTCTCCCGCCTCCGTCTCGAGCAGCACCGGGCCGAGGCAGATGCGCAAGCGACTCCTCGACTGGCAGGAAGTCCCGACTTCCGGCAGGGGCTCGCCAGCCCCCGGCCTCCTCGTGGCCACCCATCTAGATTCGCAGGAGCAAAGCAAAGGGGAGGTTGTCTCGAACTTCTGGCAGGAGCTCCCCCTGGGACGGCTCCGGGGACCGATATCTTCGATCCCCGAAGCCAGGCCTCAATAGGGGCCCCCTGCGTCGCTGGCGTGGCCCTTCGGCGGCCCTCCTTGCCGCCGCAGCTGGGCGCAGCTGGCGGATCTGGCCAGGATTCACCTGGGGAGGGGTCAAGCGTTAGGTCGGGCCCGTCCCTCTACAGGAGGAGTATTCAAAAATAGTCGAAATGTAGTCTGGGGACTATTTTTTGAATATTTTTGAGCATTTGGGGGGCATTTTTGAATATTTTTGTTTTTTCGCCCCAAGTGTAGGGGGACAGACACGTCTTAAGTCAAGCGGTAGATTTCTGACTGCCCGGACCTCCGGCGTCTTGAAGGAAAAGACAATCGCGGGTGGGGGAGCGGTGGAAGCGGCCGTGGTGGCCACGCCGCCGGACCCCTTCCTCGAGACATGGCCGCCTCGGACGCCCAGGAGGCGCCCGGAAGTCCAGCTGCGCGCTTCTCATCCGCCGACTCCCCCCCCCCTCTGCCCAGAGCTCCGACGCTCCAACAACAATTGGAGCGGACGAGAGACGGGGCCGAGAGCTCCCACCCCGCGGGGCCCGCGCGCCGAGTCAGATGAGGGCGTCGGGTGCCCAGGCTCGCAGAGCTGAACATCGCCTGCACCACCAGCTCCGAGAAGCTGCGGAGCCGCTCCCCGCTCAGCCGCCTCGATGCGCCCGCTGCGAAGCGCAACACGTGCCGTGCTCGAGACGTCCGTGTTGAAACGTTGCGTGCTGTTTCAACGTATTGGTCCACGTCTTGGCGAACTTCTCGCAGCAGCCCTACCGTTTCAGTCTACGTGTTGAGCTCCGTATCAGTGCGCTGCGTGTTGCGTGTTTTGCGTGCCCGGGCAGCTGAGGCTCCCAGGACTACTATTGGTACTCCCCGGTCCTCCGCTCCGCGCTGAAGGGCCGCCAGGCCGACGTGGTGTGCTCCCCGAGGACGGAGGCCGAGGTGGTCGCCGTGCTGCGCGAGTGCTTCGCGCTCGGGATTCCCATCACCCCGCGCGGGGCGGGCACCGGCAACTACGGCCAGGCGGTGCCGCTGCGAGGCGGAGCCGTGCTGGACCTGAAGGGCCTCACGGGCTTCGCGCTGGCGCGGCGCGGGGTGGCACGCGCTGGGGCGGGGCAGCTGATGGGCGCCATGGAGGCGGGGCTCAGAGAGGCACACGGCCACGAGCTGCGCTTCTTCCCCTCCACGGTGGCGCAGGCGACCATCGGCGGCTTCGTCTGCGGGGGCTCCTGCGGCGTGGGCTCCATCAACTACGGGCTTCTGCGCGACCCCGGCAACGTGCTCGGGCTGCGGGTGGCGACCATGGAGGCGGAGCCGCGGGTGCTGGCGCTCAGCGGCAAGGACTGCCAGGCGGCAGTGCACGCGTACGGCACCAACGGCATCGTCACCGAGGTGGAGGTGGCATTGGCACCGGCGCAGGACTGGCTGGAGATGGTCGTGGCGTTTCCCACTCTGGCCGCTGCCGCGGAGGCCGCCCAGGCCGTCTGCGAGTCGCCAGCCATCGCCAAGCGGAACGTGACCACTCTCGGGGCCCCAGTCCCTGCGCTGCCCGGCTTCGAGGGCCTGCTGCGACAGATTACCGCCGCCGGCGGCGACGCCAGCTCGGTGGCGGGCGCGGGAGCGGTGAACCTCATGTGCATCGGGGCCTGCTCGGTCGAGGGCGCTCGGGATATCTGCGAGCAGCACGGCGGGTTCGCTCACTGTGCTTACGAGAGCGGGAAGGGGGCCGACGGCAAGCGGCGGAGACCTCTGTACGAGTGGGGCTGGAACCACACCACCCTTCGCGCGCTGAGCAAGGACGAGAACATAACCTATCTCCAGTGCGGGTACTTCGACCCTGCTGGGCCTATCGAGTCCGTGCTTCACCTGCAGGAGAGGTTCGGGGGTGCCGCCAACGGGGACGAGTACATGACGCACCTGGAGTGGGTGAGGCAGGGCGGGCGGGTGGGTGCCTTCGGGCTGCCGCTGGTCCGGTGGCGGAGCAAGGAGCGGCTGGATGAGCTGATCGCGTACCACAACGACCATGGGTCACCTGTGTTCAACCCGCACACGTTCGTGCTGGAGGACGGCGGGATGAAGCAGACGGACGCGGCGCAGCTGGCGTTCAAGCACGAGAACGACCCGACGGGGCTGCTGAACCCGGGGAAGATGCGAGCCTGGGAGGAGGGCCGGCCAGTGGTGGAGGGCGTGCTGAACGCGTTCGACAGGCTGAGGGAGGGCGCGGCCGCACCGGACCTCGAGCCCGAGCCGCTCACGCCGGACATGCTCGCGGAGCTGAACGAGGGCGCGGCGGCCAGCGAGCAGCACGCGGCCGGCGCACCGGCTGCGGCCACCGTCGCCGAGGGAGGCCGCCGGGCCGTTGCTCGGCCGCTGAGCCCGCCCGCGGGCAGCGTGCGGCCGCCCCTCGCCAACTACACCCACGGGGCCCTCGTGCCGGGCGGCAGCGAGCTGGTGTTCCTCAGCGGCCAGCTGGGGATCCGCCCGGACGGCTCGGTGCCAGAGGGCGCCGGCGAGCAGGCCGCCGTGTGCTTCGAGAACGTCGCCGCGATCCTCGCGGAGTCCGGCCTCGGGCTCGAGCACGTCGTGCGGCTCAACGCCTACGTCAGTGGTCGGGAGCACCTCCCGGCCTACATGGCCGCGAGGGACGCCGCCCTCGAGGGCCTGCCGCCCGCGGCGTCCACCCTGATGGTGGTGGACGGCTTCTCGCGGCCCGAGCTCCTGGTCGAGGTGGAGGCGGTGGCCGCCGCGGGGGGGCCCAGCTCGCGCTGCCACGGCGGCGGGTCGGCGGGGCCGCAGCGCGGCGCTCGGCCGGAGCCAGGGACCCCGGCGAGCGCGCGGCCGCGGCAGGCCTCGCGGCGCTGGGCGGAGTGGACCACCGCCGACTTCGCGGAGGCCGACCTGTCCCAGGCGGTGGCCGTGCTGCCCCTGGGCGCCACGGAGGCGCACGGGCCGCACCTGCCCCTGGGCGTTGACGCGATGCACAACGCCGCCCTGCTGGACAGGGCCCTCGAGCGGCTTCCGCCGGAGGCCACGGTGCTCGCGCTGCCGCCGCTGGAGGTCTGCGTCTCTTGCGAGCACTCCGGCTTCGCGGGCACGCTGGAGGTGTCGGCGGAGACGGCTGCCGCCACTTGGGCAGAGATCGGCGCGTGCGTCGCCAAGGCCGGCGTGAGGAAGCTGCTGCTCTACAACTCGCACGGCGGCAACCACGCGCTGGCAGAGGTGGTGGCCCGCCGGCTGCGGCTGGACCACGGCATGCTCGTCGCCGTGGCCATGAACCTGGCGCAGGGCATGGCGCCGGGCGGCAGCGTGGCCGCGCTGTTCCCCGAGGACGAGGTCCGCTACGGCATCCACGGCGGCGCCCTGGAGACCTCGCTGATGCTGCACCTGCGGCCGGATCTTGTGCGCTTGGACGCCGCGCGAGACTTCGCCTCCGCGGCGTCGAGGCGACCACCTGGCGCCGCCCTGCAGGCGCTCGAGGAGAGAGCCCTTCGAGGGGAGGAGAAGGGGGAGGGACTCCTGGCTCATGAGGGGCTCCAACTCTCGGGCCGCTCCTCTCATCAGCTGGGCCAGGGAACCAGGCGAGTGGCCGAAGTCCGCCGCGGCCAGGGGCGACCCATCGTTTCTCGTTCGGCGCTCCGCACGGGAGCACGATGGCTGTGCCGCAGGGGATGGGTGGACATGGCGTGGCCAGCCCGCCGCACGAGCTCCCCGCGCTCGGCCTCCTCTGCGCTCTCCGCCTGCCACAGCCCAGCCGTGCCCATCTCCAGCCTCCTGCGGCCGCGCGCAGAGGGGGGTATACGGGGGAGGGGGGAGGCCTGTGAGATGCACCCCTGCTCCTCAGCAGGCGCGGGCCCTGTCGACAGATGTCGGGCCAGCGCCTTCTGAGAGGCAGCCTCCCTCCAAGAAGCCCTCCCCCCCTCCCCCTGCCCCCTCCCGCGCGCGCCGCCCACCCCTGGCCCTCGGCCACAGAACGGCAAGCGGCAGGAGCACAGGGCCGGGAACTGTTGGAGAGCGGGGCGCTCCGCCGGCCCTGGCCCACCGCGCCTCGGTGCGACCCCCAGACGTCCGCGTCCCCAGCCTTGCCGAGCCTCCCGCGCAGCGGAGGGGAGCGACACGCTACGGTGGGGGCGCCGGTTCAGGCTAAGGAAGGTGCCCAGGAGGCCTCAGACCTTGGGTGGTGCCTGATCTGGTGAGGGCGGCGGTGATATCCATGGCCGGTGAGCGATTGGCTCTTCCACTGGCTTCCAGACCCTGGACTCCTTGCCCACTGCTCCTTTTATCCCATGCCCCCACCGCATCTTCCTGCACGGGGCCGCGCGTCGCTGGGGCCGCCGCCGCGACGCGCTGCGTGCGGAAGCCTGCGGCCGCAGACGTGAGCAGAAGCTCCTCGGAGCTCGGCGGACTGCCTGGCGTTCGGGGCTGGGCCCCCGGCGCGCCCCTAGCGCCATGAAGGGGGTGCCCAGCGCCGAGGCAAGGAATCAGCGCGGACCGCAAAACGTTTCTGATTCCCCAGACCCGCTCGGGCAATGCAAAAGTCACGACGGGAGGTTTTCTTCCATATTTCGGCCTCTGGGGGCCCCTATACCGTCCCTCGGGGCCGGCAACGAACGACTCAGGACGAGAAGCCAGTCCCGGGGATTGGGTCGAGACCTCTGAGGGTCGCCGTTGTGGAAAGATCATGACGTCGGGGGCTTGGGTCTGCAAGCTGACGCTCCTGGAGGTCCGGAGGAGGAGGAGGGCTCTCGAGAGGGGTCCGCGGGCGGAGCCGGGCAGCTGGTCTATCGGCCCCCGAGGTGCACGGCCCGGGCTTCGCGAACAAGGTGTTCTGTTGCATCTTCGGGGGACCTCGCCTGTCCCAAACATTGGTGTCTTTTTGGGGGCCCGACGCGTGCTCGATGCGGACTACACGCGGATTTGGCGTGGATTCGACGCGGATTCGACACGGATTCGACGCGGATCCGACGCGTCCGACATGGATTCGACACGGATTCGACGCGGGCAGGGCCGCGACGGGACAGACAAGGTCCCCCGAGGATGCAACATAAAAGGTGGGCTGGGTGGCGCAGGACCTGAACGAGGCCGGCGTGGTCGGTGCGGCCGCCTCGCTGTCCGACGCCGCCAAGGCCAGGCGCGGAAGTCTGTGCCTCCCCTGAGATCCGACGCTCCAACAAAAATTGGAGCAGGCGGTTTTGGACAGTTTTCGGCCTCCGGGGGCCCTCGCCGGGCCTCGGGAGCGTCAAAAAACGACTCAGGACGAAAGCCCGGTCCCGGCGAAGTGGTCTGGACCTCCTGGGTCCACGCACCAACAAAAATTGGAGCAGCCGGATGTCTGGGTCTTCGGAGCCGTGTCTCCAGCGGGCGGGGCCGTGTGCCATCGAGGGGGCTGCAGAGAGGCTCGGGCTGCGCCGCCGGCGGAGTTCCAGCGGAAGCCCGGCAGAAGGGAAGGATGCCACCCAGAGGGAGGTATCAACGTTCCCAGACACCTTCGGGCAATGACAAAAATCATGCCTTGAGATTTTTCATAGTTTCGGCCTCTGGAGGCCCTTACCGTCCCTCGGGGCCGTCAAAGAACGACTCAGGACGAGAAGCCGGTCCCGGGGAATGAGTCGAGACCTCTGAGGGTCGACGTTGTGAAGAATCATGACGTCGGGGGTCTGGGTTTCTGGCTGGGCGCTTTTCGGGGAGGGCCATTCACACTTGTCGGCGCGCATACTGGAGCGGGGCGCTGGGGCGACCTCCTGGAGAGGCGCCGAGGGGCGCGAGGATCGTCGCGGCTCGCGGCGCCGCGGCCAGGGCCCGCGCGGCTGCTTGGTTTCCAGGGCAGCGGCGCGCGAGCGCGAGGTCGCGCGGACAACGGCCCGTCGTGCATCTTGGGGCGGAGCCGAGCGGAGCGCGCGGGTGACGGCCACGGGCGTGGCCTCTATCGGGTAAACGTAAGACTCGAGTAAGCTGGAACTCGGGTGTACCAACGTTTTTTGACGAGCGAGTCCTGGATGTTGACGGTCCGGTGTTCGTGGGGGATGTGTTTGCAGCGGGAGTTCGCGTCAAGTTTCCTATTGGGTCCCGTCATTTCAATGATGGCCCCGTCAGGCCAATTCGAGTCCCCAGTACACGAGTCTTACGTCTACCCGACTCTAAGGCAAGAATGGGTGGGCTAGAGCCCTTCAGTGATCGTAATCGAGGTCTGCGCGGGGAGGTTCAGTGAAGGCGGCGACTGCATGTTAGGTGAAGGCGGCGACTGCGTGTAAGAGGGGCCCTCTGCCAGAGTGACCTTTTTGGTGCGTGCCCACCGGTGTGTCGCGATCGCCCAGTGCGATGCGACAGTTCCCTCGCGGCCGTCAGGGAGCCGCGCACCAAAGCTCACCTTCACGCAGGGTAATTTTGCGTATGGCCTTGAGTCGGGCCTGTCCCTCTACAGGGCGAATATTCAAACATAGTCAAAACATAATCAGGAGACGATTTTTGAGCATTCTCTTTTTATATTTTTGAATAATTTGATGAATGTTTCTTCCCGAAATCCACCGGTAGGGGGACAGGCCCGACCAAAGCCCAGGGTAATCTTGCGTATAGCCGAAGGCGGCGTGATCGCAGTCGGAGTCGGCGAAAATGGGTGACCTACTTATCTCCACCCACCAAACCACCCCAACCCCAGACCCCCTCGGGCAATGGAAGAATCATGACGGGAGGTTTTTCCACATTTTCGGCCTCTAGGGGCCCTCACTGGGCCTCGGGACCGTCAAAAAACGATTCAGGATGAAAAACCGGTCCAGGGGAATGGGTCGAGACTTCTGAGGGTCGACGTTATGAAAAGATCATGACGTCGGGGTCTGGGACCCAAACCGAAGGCCCCAGGGAGCATGGAGAAAACATAGGAACGTATGGGGGCAAACGATTGAGAAACCCCCGTCCCTGGGGCCCCAGAATGAATGAGTCGGACAGACTAATAGAATTCAGCCGCCAGAATCTTGTTTTTTAATCGTCTGCCCCCTAGCGTTTTTTGGCCGCCTTGCGGAAACTGATTTTCTATTTGTCCTTCTGCGTTCGTTTGATCACCCGCGGCTGCGGGAGGAGGATTGCGGAGAGAGGAGGGAGGCCCAGCGCTGATCCAGGAAATCCACGGAGGATCGCCGAAAGTTTATGTTTACGCAGATGTGTTCATCCCCGACTTAAGAGCCAACCTGAGGACTGCCCAGCTGTCGTCCTCGCGGACGGCGGTTGGAGCTTGAAAATGAGGCCAACGTTGCCGCGGGAGCAGCGTGTCGGAAGAACCGAACAAGTTCGGATCGCACAACAGTTATGAACAACACACTGTCCAATCTTCTGTGCAAAAAAAACACAGCACACGGGAGGATTCGAACCGAGCAGAAGCTCGAACATGAGGCCAGCGTTACAGCGGGAACAACATGTTGGAAGTGCCGAACACGTTCCGATTGAAAAAAACATGTATGAGAAATGCATTCGTGCCAAACTTGTGTAATGCATCGCACAATACGCTGAAGGTGCAATCGATCTTCCGGGGTGCATCAGGGGAGAACGTAGAAGAATAATTAGCAAGGGGAAGGTGACAAGGGATAGAAAAGCGAGGAGGAGGAGGAAAAGAAAAATGGGGAGGAGATTAGGAAGGGGAGGTGGGGAAGGAGGTCGCTGTGTGAAGGCGGCGCAAAATGTCTGCCTTCCGCGCAGGACTGGCGGATCAGAAATTTCAACTTCCCATTCAGGGCTGGCCAGAAGCAACCCCCGCGGCCTCGAATTGTCCGCCCCTGCGGATTCGAATCGTCAGTCCGGGAAGTCCTTCCCAGCTTTTGCTTGCTCAGCTCTGAATTGACCTCCCGCCCCCCCCGCCCTGAATTGTCAGCCCGCCCTCCCTCCCGGGCCTCCAGACAACCCGGAATTGTTCGCCTTCCGTCTGCCTGCCCCGCCCTCCCGCTATTGCGGTGGCGCGAAGGCCCGCGAAACTATGTTTGAAACCGTCCGCCCCAGAAAGTTGTTTTAAATCGTTTGTTCCCGCTGCCCCCCCCAGCTCGAAGTTTGGGTCTCGGGTTAGGTTGGGGTGGTCTGGAAGGCTGTCAACTTAGGAAGGAAGCTCGCCGGTCCTTGCCTCCGCGGCCTCGTTCGGCCAGGGGGTCCAGCGGCGGGCAGCCCTGACCCCAGACCCCCAACGTCATGATTTCTTCATCACGTCGACCCTCAGAGGTCTCGACCCATTCCCCTGGACCGGCCTTTCATCCCGAGTCGTTGTTTGACGGCCCCGTGGGCCGGTATAAAGGGCCCCCAGAGGCCGAAGATAGCAGAACACACGTCCCGCCGTGATTGTTTCGTTGCCCGAGGTGGTCTGGGACGGCCCAGCAGGCACGCCTCCCCAGGCCCCGGCGGGTCGGGCCTGGCGGCCCAAGGCTCCTTTCTGCCGTGCCTCTCTCGGCGCGCCCGAAATCCACCTCGCTCTGCCCCGCGTGCCGCCCCGTCGCGCGGCTCTCGCTGGTCCCGGCCGCCGCGGTCTCGTTCCTAGGGACCCGACGCTCCAACTCCTCCTCCTCCTCCTCCTCCTCCTCCTCCTCCTCCTCCTCCTCCTCCTCCTCCTCCTCCTCCTCCGCCTCCTTTTGCGCCTCCTCCTCCTGCTCCTCCTCCTCCTCCCTCCTCCTGCTCCTCCTCCTCCTCCTCCTCCTCCTCCTCCTCCTCCTCCTCCTCCTCCTCCTCCTCCTCCTCCCCCTACTCCTCACCGTCCTCCCTCCTCCCTTCCCCTCCCACCCAGAGATCCGACGTCCCAGCGACAGCTGGAGCTGGCGGTTTCAGGCCGTGTGCGGCCTCTGGGGACCATCGCCGGGCCTCGGGAGCGTCAAAATACCTTGTGACGTACCCAACCCTTTCTATACATGTGGCGGTTATACTCAGGACCACTCAACGCTGACTGGCATTCTGAAGAGCCCGCAGTGCGCAAGAAGAGCACCCAACAGTGATTTCAGAAGAGCGCAGCAAGAAGAGGAACGGCAACTATACAACATGGAAACACAGGGGCGTTGAAAGAAACGCGTATGACGTACCTCCGAATGATCCACGTGGGACGTACCTCCGCTGGGCCTCCCAGGAGCCCACGGAGGTGGCGACAGTTGCGCAGATCGCAAGCTCCCCAGGGGGCGGCGAGGTCTCGAGGTGATCCGCGTGGGACCCACCTCCGCTGGGCCTCCCAGGAGCCCACGAATGCAGCAACAGATGCGCAGATCGCAAGCCCCCAGGGGGCGGCGAGGTCCCGAGGTGATCCGCGTGGGACCCACCTCCGCTGGGCCTCCCGGGAGCCCACGAAAGTGGCGACCGTTGCGCAGATCGCAAGCCCCCAGGGCACCGCGAGGTCTCGAGCTGATCCGCGTGGGACCCACCTCTGCCGGGCCTCCCAGGAGCCCACGAAAGCTGCGACCGTTGCGCAGATCGCAAGCCCCCCAGGTGGCGGCCAGCTCCCGAGGCGATCCGCGTGGGACCCACCTCCGCTGGGCCTCCCAGGAGCCCACGAAAGTGGCGACCGTTGCGCAGATCGCAGCCCCCAGGGCACCGCGAGGTCTCGAGCTGATCCGCGTGGGACCCACCTCCGCTGGGCCTCCCAGGAGCCCACGAATGCAGCAACAGATGCGCAGATCGCAGCCCCCAGGGCACCGCGAGGTCTCGAGCTGATCCGCGTGGGACCAACCTCCGCTGGGCCTCCCAGGGGTTGTCCACTTTTTCCCGGCAAACTGGGCTTTTTCCCGGCAAACTGGACTTTTCCCCGGCGCTCCGCCGGGAAAGAGTCCAGTTTGCTTAGTTTTTGTATGGAAGCTTGAAGCATGGATTTCCGAAAATCCCACTATCACCTTAAGGGTCTCCAACTCCCGCTGCGCAGATCCTAGCCGGGAAAGAGTCCAGTGGTTGACTTGTGTCGTGCGGCCTTCGCCGTAGCACTACTCCTCGCAGTGTGTTTGTAAGTAGTAGTAGTAGTAGTAGTAGTAGTAGTAGTAGTAGTAGTAGTAGTAGTAGTAGTAGTAGTAGTAGTAGTAGTAGTAGTAGTAGTAGTAGTAGTAGTAGTAGTAGTAGTAGTAGTAGTAGTAGTAGTAGTAGTAGTAGTAGTAGTAGTAGTAGTAGTAGTAGTAGTAGTAGTAGTAGTAGTAGTAGTCGTCGTAGTAGTAATAGTAATAGTAGTAGTATAGTAGTAGTAGTAGTAGTAGTAGTAGTAGTAGTAGTAGTAGTAGTAGTAGTAGTTGTTGTTGTAGTAGTAGTAGTAGTAGCAGTAGTAGTAGTAGGGTTAGTGGATTAGTACTACTAGGAGTGATTGTATTAAGGATAGTGAGATTACGAATAGTAGTTGTAGTAGTGGAAAGATTAGTGGTAGTAAAAGCAGAAGTATTCGTAAGCGATGTCAAAAACCGTCCAGGTAGACGTACTACTGGTTATCCGCCACCGTGCCTCTGGGCACGGAGTGGGCGTTTCCTGAGGTCCTCTGCCTCGTCCCCTGAGCCTGAGTCCTCGCTCCTGAGGAATCATTAAGGGCACCAGAGCCCAAATTGCAAAATCTCCCGTGCCTTGTCGCGGTTCCCTTGGGCCTTGTCGCAGCTGCCTTGGGCCTTGTCGCAGCTGGCCGCGTGACTTTTTCGGGCCCACGAAGGCCCCAAGACGTGCCAAGAGGGCCCCAAGAGGCATCCAAGACGGCCCAAGAGGGGCCCGAGACGCCCAAAGAGCGCTCCAAGACGCCCAAGATGGCCCCAAGACGGGCCAAGAGGCCTCCAAGACGGCCCAAGAGGCCCCCAAGAGGCCTCCCAAGAGGGCCCCAAGAGGCTAACATTGTTGATTTCCCATTGTGGTTTTCGATGTTTTTTGCTTTCTCGCCTTTTCGGCTTCCCGACGCTCCCAGCGGCCCTTCGTCCGCCCATATCCTCATACTCATCCAACTGCTCGTCTTCCTTATCCTCACCCTTCTCATCATCAGCATCATCGTCATCATCTGCCTTATTCTCCTGATCCTCCTCCTCGTCCTGCTCCTCCTCATCCCCCCCCTCGTCTCCTCAGGGGGCGGCGCGCGCGCGCGCGAGAGAGCACGTCGGCGGCGACGACCGACGACCGAAGAAGACGAGTGCGAGGACCTGACGACCGACTACGACGAATGACGACGACGAACGACACCCTCCATCATCCACCTTCCCAATCCTCCCTCGTCCTCCCCCTCACTGATCATGGATCCCACTGTCCTCCTCCTCCTCTTCCTCCTCCTCCTTCCGCTGACGACCGAAACGAATGACGACGAGGCGTGAAGATAAGCCCAGAAACAAGCCAGCGGCCTCCAATACGTCCTGAGCACGGCCCAAGAGGCCCCATGGACGGCCCAGGACGGGCCCAAGAGAGCACCAAGCGGGCCCAAGACGGCTCGAAGAGAGCCCCAAGCGGGCCCAAGAGGGCGTCCGGAAGGACCCAAGACGGCCTCAAAAGCCCTTCGATGGCTCAAGACGGCACCACGAGACCCTCCAGACGGCCAAGAGGGCCCGAAGGCAGCCCCAGAAAACCGCAAGGGCGGCCTTCCTCATCCCCATCGGCCATCATCATCATCATCATCATCATCATCGTCATCATCATCAGCATCATCATCATCATCATCATCATCATCATCATCATCATCATCATCATCATCATCATCATAGTCGTCATCATCATCAGCAGCACCATCGTCGTTGTCGTCGTCATCGTCATCATCATCATGATCACCAATATCATCATGACCAGCATCATCATCGTCATCGTAATCGTCATCATCATCATCATCACCGTCGGATAGCATCATCATCATCATCATCATCATCATCATCATCATCATCATCATCATCATCATCATCATCATCATCATCATCATCATCATCATCATCACAGTGGTCGTCATCATCACAGGCCCCAAGGCGGCCTCAGGAGGCCCCAAGGGGGCCTAAGGAGGCCCCAAGATGGCCTCAGGAGGCCCCAAGGGGGCCTAAGGAGGCCCCAAGATGGCCTCAGGAGGCCCCAAGGGGGCCTAAGGAGGCCCCAAGGGGGCCTAAGGAGGCCCCAAGAGGACCTCAGGAGGCCCCAAGAGGGCCTCAGGAGGCCCCAAGGGGGCCTCAGGAGGCTCCAAGAGGGCCTCAGGAGGCTCCAAGAGGGCCTCAGGAGGCCCCAAGGGGGCCGAAGGAGGCCCCAAGGCGGCCGCGTCGGAGGTTGCAGGGTCCGTCGTCGGAGGGAACTCTGTAAAGCTTGTCAAAAGAAGCTTTAAATGTTTCTGAAACGGATCGCCGGGAAACAGTCCAGTTTGCCGGGGAAAAGTCGAGTTTGCCGGGAAAAAGAGTTTTTCCCCCAGGAGACCACGAAAGTGGCGAAAGCTGCGCAGATCGCAGCCCCCAGGGCACCGCGAGGTCTCGAGGTGATCCGCGTGGGACCCACCGCTGGGCCTCCCAGGAACCCACGAAATTGGCGACAGTTGCGCAGATCGCAGCCCCCAGGGCACCGCGAGGTCTCGAGCTGATCCGCGTGGGACCCACCTCCGCTGGGCCTCCCAGGAGCCCACGAAAGTGGCGACAGTTGCGCAGATCGCAGCCCCCAGGGCACCGCGAGGTCTCGAGCTGATCCGCGTGGGACCCACCTCTGCCGGGCCTCCCAGGAGCCCACGAAAGTGGCGACCGTTGCGGAGATCGCAAGCCCCCAGGTGGCGGCGAGGTCTCGAGGTGATCCGCGTGGGACCCACCTCCGCTGGGCCTCCCAAGAGCCCACGAAAGTGACGACAGTTGTGCAGATCGCACCCCCAGGGCACCGCGAGGTCTCGAGGTGATCCGCGTGGGACCCACCTCCGCTGGGCCTCTCAGGAGCCCACGAAAGTGGCGACAGTTGCGCAGATCGCAGCCCCCAGGGCACCGCGAGGTCTCGAGCTGATCCGCGTGGGACCCACCTCCGCTGGGCCTCCCAGGAGCCCACGAAAGTGGCGACAGTTGCGCAGATCGCAGCCCCCAGGGCACGGCGAGGTCTCGAGGTGGTCCGCGTGGGACCCACCTCCGCTGGGCCTCCCAGGAGCCCACGAAAGTGGCGACAGTTGCGCAGATCGCAGCCCCCAGGGCACCGCGAGGTCCCGAGGTGGTCCGCGTGGGACCCGCCTCCGCTGGCCTCCCAAGAACCCCCGAAAGTGGCGACAGTTGCGCAGATCGCAGCCCCCAGGGCACCGCGAGGTCCCGAGGTGGTCCGTGTGGGACCCACCTCCGCTGGGCTTCCCAGGAGCCCACGAAAGTGGCGACAGTTGCGTAGATCGCAGCCCGACGGCACGAGAGAAGAGGAGAGGGGAACACAGGAAACAGGAGAGGAGGAGGGGAGGAGGGGGGAGGAGGAGAAGGACAGGGCGACCACACTGCTCTATTCAAAACGAGTACCCAACCATAGGAGGGTTGGGAAAAAAGTCAGGACGAAGAACCGGCCCAAAAGGGTAGTCTGGACCTCTGGGGCACACGCATCGAAAAATGAGAGCAGCCGGGGATGTTTGGGGAATCATGGCTCCAGAGCGTTGCGGGACGCTCTCAGGGCATTTCGGGACGCTCTGGAACGACCGCGGCGCCCGATCGATCCTCCAGACGCGTGGACCCCGAAGGCCTTGTTCAGGCGCTCCCAGGATCGGGAGGCATCGCTGCAGAGCGTTGCGGGATGCTCTTCGAGCGTTTCGGGGCGCTCTATAGCACGGCCGTGGCGGTCCAGACACGCGAATTGTCAGAGATCTCTGCTGTATCGGGGTCCGATTCTGTCCCGATCCTGTCCTCGTTTTACTTGCCTTAAGTCGGGCCTGTCCCTCTACAGGAGGAATCTTCAAATTATCCCAGTGCGACCCTACGTAGGAGTTGGAGCCTCTAGGAAAGCATTATTAGTAGGAGCGGTAAACGCCGTCCTCCTCCTTCTCCTCATCGTCGTAGTTGTAGCAGTGGCTGTGCTGCGCTATGCTATGCTCTGCTCTGCTCTGCTCTGCTATGCGATGCGATGCTATGCTATGCTATGCTGCAAAATGCTATGCTGGGCTGGACTAGGCTATGCTATACTATGCTATGCTATGCTGCGCTATGTTATGCTGCGCTATGCTATGTTATGCTGCGCTATGCTATGTTATGCTATGCTATGCTATGCCATGCTATGCTATGCTATGCTATGCTTTTGCTTTGCCTTCGCTTGTGCCTTCACTTTTGCCTTTGCTTTTGCTTTTGCTTGGCACCCAGGGAGCCCAACTGGAGGAACCGCGCGTTTGCTATTACCTTTGCTGTTGCTTTTGTCAGGGGACGATTTGTTGTATTATCTTTGAGCATTTTGGGTGCATTGTTTGATTATTTTTTCATCCAAAATCCGCCCGTATGGGGGACGCGCCCGACCTACTACTTGCCAGGGCGCGCAGCTGGCGGAGGCGTCCGTGTCGGCGCTCGTCGGCCTGCTCTCGGAGCTCCACGCCGCCGACGCGGACGAGTGGCTCGCGACGAGCCCGCGGTACCCGCCGCAGGGCCGCGGCCGGGCCCGCTGACGCCGTCGAGGGGCGCTGGCTGGAAAAGGCCGGCGAGGCCGAGCCGCGCGCCCCGGGCGGCGGCGCAGGAGAAGTGGCCCTCCGCCGGAGCGGCTCGTGCTGCGGGCCCTTGGGCGACGCGTAATGGGGGGGCGATAATAAAGGGGGGGGGGCGGCGGGGGCCTGCAGAACAGGAGCCCCTGGGCCGGAGACGTGCACCTTTCTCTCCCCCCCCATGCACCGCACCCGCATTCAGCGACGCCCAAGCCCAGGGTGGAGCCCCCTGCATGTCTCGCCCGGCGGCGTAGAAGGAGTGGCCCTCCGCAGGAGCGGCTCTTGCTGCGGGCCCACAGAGAGGGGTCCCCGGGGTCCCCCCTTGGATGCCACGGGGAGCGGCTCGGGCCCCCTGCCGGCGCGCGGGGACTGCGCAGGGATTTGCTCGGATCCCCAGCCTCAGAGGATTCCGCAGGTGTCGGCTTGGGTCCCCGGCTGGTCCCTAGGGATCCGTGTGGGTTTGGCTCGGATCCCCAGCCCGTCCGTGAGCCCCGCACGGGCTTGCTCGCGCAGAGGTCTGTGGCCCCTCCCCGCGGTCACCCCGGAGCCGCGCAGCGAGGTCCATTCTTGCTCGGGTTCGCTCCGTGCGTGTGGCCGAGTCGCGCGGGCGCAGTCGGCAGCAGTCCTCACCCGGCGCGTGCCGAAGCTCCGCCTCGCTCTCCAGGCGGTCTGGCAGCAAGATCACGGTGGCGAGCGGCTCGGTGTTTTCCGCCCCTCCTCGTGGCCTCCCACGAAACGGCGGCCGGGAGGAGGAGGAGGAGGAGGAGGAGGAGGAGGAGGAGGA